TAAAGGTAAGTTCTGCTGTCACACACGACTCACTGTGTGCCTGGTCTGTACCTCTGTATCTCCCTGCCTGGTCACTCCAGCACAGTGATGTCAGGAGTGTGTTTTGTGGTTGTTCTTTTGGTTGACCTCACCTAACTGTGGCAGGAACTCCCTATTTAGTTGGGGGATAATTGAGGCAGAAAGCTAATGAGGAGGCTGAGACAAGCAACAACAGGATTCACAGAGCAAGGGGAAAAAAAGATGAGAAGAAGGAAAGAAGGAGGGGAGGAAAAAGGAGCCTGAAAGTCCAGGGCCCAGCCCATGTTCACCTCTGACTCCCAGGCTAGACCAAGCTACCCACTCATCTTAGAAGCCACTAGAGCAGTCCATGGAAACCTTTTCCATTTTCCATCCATAAAGACATTCAAAACACTATCTGTGCCTGTGGTCAAGCCTTCTCCACCAAACTACCAACAAGAGCCGGACCAGGGCTCAAACATGTTCCTACCACCCTGAGCCACTTGAGGTTTGGAGTTTTAAGTGAGTCCCTGGGAAGAACAGCTCTGGACTGGCCTTCACAGGACACCAGCCCCCAGTCCCAGGTGCGTTTCCTTGCAAAGCTCACAGAGGTGGTTCCTTGGGACCAGAAGCTTGGAAGGAAGAAAACCGTATCACAGTTCGCAGCACAAGCTCCAGCCTAAGCAGGACAGGAGGGTTGGCTGGGGGCTTTGAGACAATCTGTGTCTTTCCCTAATGCAGGAACATCCCCAGACTGGCCAAGATTTGATCCTGAGATGTGCAGAGAGGAGGTTATCAGGCTTCATCCAGGGCTAGGCAGCTCCAGGGACAGGAGGAGGCAAGATAGTCCCTGTCAAGCACTCTGGGCTGCTGGGGTGTCCATGCTTCCTTCAAAGGTGCCAGTAGGTGGCGCTAGAGAGTATACACAGCTAGCCATGGCTTTTCCACAGAATACCTCAAAGTCTATCTCAGGGGTCCCTGCCTCCTAGCAGAGTAACACTGCAGCCATTCTCTGCCCACTGTTCTCCAGACATTTGTCCCTGTCCTTCTGAGCCATTCTCTAGTCTTGCTGAGCACTGCAGCCTTGAAGCCCATGCCTAGCTCGCTGTGGGGTTTCATGTACCTGTGTGTGCCGTGACTGCCTTTGTTTGGGAAATCAGCACTAACTAGTTTTAGATGACAAAATTATAGAAAATTATATCTAAAATCTGGTAATCTCTTGCTTTGTTTAAAATTTATTTTTTATAGAGAGACTAAATTGATTTCTTTTTTTAACTATTTTGGTTTAGCAACCCTTCTCTTTAAAAAGAGAGGAGAGAGGAGAGAGGAGAGAGGAGAGAGGAGAGAGGAGAGAGGAGAGAGGAGAGAGGAGAGAGGAGAGAGAGAGAACCAAAAGAATAAAAGCACGACGCATGCACTTGTGCAAGCACACATAAAACTCTCATCCCCGTTTTATGAGCTATCAACTCTGACACAAAAGGCTGTGGGGTTCCAGCTGTCCAAGGCTATTCCAAAGCTAGAAGCATTAAGCATCTTCAGTGTCCCCACAGCAAGAGCCTGCGAACTCTAATGAAAAGTCTTGCTGGCTTTTCAAGTTCAAGACATATATCTATAGAAAAGGAATTGTTCTGTACAGAAGGGAACCAACCAGCTTAGCTGGCCCTAGACTCCCCTGGCCTAGGATCCATCTCTCTAAACACTGCTGGCTATCCCCGAACACCTTCACCCCTGATGTGGGGTAACACAGGTTAGTAAGATCAGGCTGCTGAGCCTACCAGGTCAGTAAACCGTTACAGTACTGCTCCTGGGACAAGTGTGGGAGACCAAAGTGTGCAGCCTGACCTCTGTGGTCCCAAGCCTTATAGGTGGAAAAAGACAAGAGAAGCCCCGTGCCATTTGTTATATAAATCCCTACAGGGTAGACTGGGTCTGAGGGAGAGACAGGAAGCAGAGTTCCAGAAACACCTCCTGCCCCATCTCCTGGGAGGCTTTGGGGTCCTCCAGCCAGTGACCATGGGTGGCCTGTCCAGCACACTGCTCCCGTTGGTGTTCACCAGACCAGCTGTTCCTCCAGAGATTACATTAATTCACCTGTCTGTTTATGGCCCTTGCCATCAGGCAGAGCCCCTTGTATTTGTGACAGAAGACAAAGAACTGTACATGTATGAATGCTCAGCGCTCAAACCTGGGTGGGTTTGGGTTTTTTTTTTTTAAGTAAATTCTCTCCTTTCATTTCTAATCTTAAAAGCCTTTATTGCTGAAGCTGTAATTTATCTGTCAGGTCTAATGTCAAACAACTACATTTAGGGAAAAAAAATAAGAAACCCAAATTTTGAAACCAAATCTTTGCAACTTGCCATGGGAAAGTCGGAATCCTCCTGACATCACCTCGAGGGTTTGGATCTGGGTCACTTTTAATTTTGCCCCCCCAAGGGATTTTTACATCCCTGAAACCCAATTGACTTCACACTCCTAAATGACAGACAGCTGGCTCCAGGCGGGGACAGGAGGCACCACATGATGTTATCAACACAAATCAGAACTCCGCTTAAGAAAAAAATAAAAGGAAAGAAGAAAAAGAAAAGAATTTTCCTTTTCTCCTAGTCTCTGTTTGAAACCTTGGCCAGCCTTATAATAAGATCCACCATGCACTGTCTAGCTCATTACAGCCCTATGATTTTTGCCTTACTATTGTTTGGTGAGACAACCTGGCCTCTCGTGGGGTTGAGTAATTATACAGAGAGATCCCCCTCCATGAAGAACAGGTCTTGCCAGCCAGAGGGATGGGCCACTGGTATTTTTAGACTTCATTAGTGCCCTGATTTAAAATTTCACATTTTGTTTCTTGTAATTATCTTCCGATCGACTGCACGAAATTTTTAGTCGAGGCTCTATTAGTCCGCCTTCCCAAAAAGGGCATTGGGACTTTAATTTAAAACTTAACCAATTGAAAAAGAAAGGTGGTGTGCAAAATGCCTTTTGATTTGCAGTAGGTCAAGTGATTGTCTCTCATCTGTGACTAGAGACGCCAGCATGCCTGCGGTTTGCTTTAATGAGTGTTATTTAAATGCATTGAGCACATATAGATTTTCTTAAGAAACTTACAAGATAAATCTTTCTTTCTCTAAGAACAATTTGAGGGTGGGAACAAGCTGTGGGATTTTTTTTTTTAGATTATATATTGAAAGGTAATTAAAAATAGATTTCATGTGTGCAAAGTGATAAGGGAGGAAAACGGAATTAGTTCCATCTTAGTCTTTATAAAAGACCTGGTGTGCTTGGCTTGTCGTTAGATGGGGACAGACCTCTGGGCTGATCCTCTGGGAGAAGTACAGCCGAACCCAAGCCTATGTAAAGACTGAGGTCTAATGACCCTGTTGCTAGCGATCACCAGGAGGTCACAGCAGAGGTGCAAGCTGGGAACAAGATGATTTCTGTCATCTTTCATCAGGGATTGTTGGTGGCTTAGACCAAGGCTAGAGACCTCTAAGATCCCCAGACCCTGGATCCAGAGGTGAGCTGCAGAAAGACTGTCTTGTTTCCTCCCTGAGTGGAGAGAAGAACGCTATCAGCACTGCTCCCCTTCCTCCAGTGGGACACACGTCTGTTCTGGTGTAGAGTGTTGTAGGTCTGATGTAGGGACATGATGATGATCCATCTGCAGAGCTGGGCTCCTCAGCCTCAGGACCAAGGAGCTACATGATGACGAATTGTTCCACATCCTTCTGTGGTTGCAGTTTCTCTCCTCCACCCCGAACCCTAGACCTCTAGACCAAGGAGCTCTGTCTGTCCTTGCAAGTGTGTCGTACAGGAGCCACAGCTCCCGGACTTTAGCAGCAGCGAAGACAGTATCTTTGGATATGCTCTGTGGAACATATCTCAGGATATATGCGAGTGGAGTAGTGTTATGACCGGAGTGAGCCTCCTGATATCTCAGAGACTCTGTTTCCTTCACTTGTTTATGCCTGTTGTCCTAGTATTCAGGGTGACTGAGCCAGGAAGACTGCTGTGAGTTTGAGGCCAAACTGAGCTACGTTGTGGGTTCCGTCCAGTTCAACCTGGGCTACAGAGTGTGAGACCCTGCCATCTATACATACATGCATACATACATATATACATACATACATACATACATACATACATACATACATACATATATGGTGTATATATGATGTATATATTTGGTGTATCTACAATATATAAGATGAGGATGTTTGTACTGTCTTCCTGGAGTCCAGAAGAGCCATTGGGAATTGTGGGTGTGACTGCCCCTCACCTGTTGTCTGCTCACTATCACTGAAATCTCGCCCAGTTGTCCTGTCCAGGGAGTTTAGCAGCCGAGCCTGCCCATACGGTGCTCACATGGCCCACAGCTCTGTGTTCGAGCCACTTTCTGAGAGATGGCATGAGGTACTTTTTAGCAGAGGATAGGAGACTATTCTCCCAAACTTGGGGCTAAGGCATATCTCATCCCTCCTTGCCTCACACCCAGACAAATTCAGAGCACCCTGCTCTCTCTGTAATGCATGGCAAAGCTACTTGCCCACACACTGCCCATGCTGTAGCAACCCTCCCTGTGCTGTCCCAGAAATGTCATCCCAAGTCCATCCAGGGTTCAAACTCAGAGCTGCCAGTTGTCGTTTACTAAGTGTGTCTCTTGAGCACAAGCTCCAAGAATTGGCCAGGGTGGTCTTTTTAAAATGCAGACATTGACCTGACACCCCCCCCTCAAGTGTCTCCAAAGGTCAGGTGCTCTGGAGTCTGATAGTCACCCCTAACACCTCGGTCCCTGACACCCACCGGCCTTGCACTTCATCCTTTATGGGTCTGTGCATAGGCCGAGTTCTTATGTTCTCTATTTGAGGTATGCCCTATGCTTTGAATCATTCATCTATAGGCAGGCAGTTCATCTGTGCTTCTTCCCTCCTCAGACAGACTGTGAGCCTCCAGGGTGGGGTGGGTAAGCACTTCACTGGAATCCCATTCTAACCGAAGAGCCAAAACAGTCGTCCACATCAAGAGCTATATGGAGTGTGCGATGGATGGAAGCACAGAGCTAGGCCTCTCTGTGACTTGTCTTCTTTTCTCAAAAGCAGTCGGTATCCTTGGGCATCCTGGTATGCAAAAAAAAAAAAAAATCTCTCAGTGAAGTCATTCTGCAGTCTCCACACCTGTCTCACACTAAAATTCTATCCATTGAGGCTTCTTCCCACACCCAGGCACCTCCACACAATACCTGCCCCTGAACAGATGGGGTCTGAAATTCTACCCCAGCTTCCTCATCTTTAATATAGTAATGGCAGAGCTGCTTCTTTGGGTGCTGTGAGGACTGACTTATGTTATTCGCAGCCCTTAGCACAGTGCCTAGTATAACCGCTATAAAAGTGTACATGATCTCTCTTTCTCTCCAACTGTGCCACCATGTAGCACCCATAGCCTTTTAGGAGTTCAGGTTAATATGACGAATCAAAGACCAGCTTGCTTTCCCAAGTCTTAGGAGAATGTGTTAACATCATGATGTCTGAAGGCCTGGTTCCCAGGGGTCCCCTTTGAATGGCAGAAAATTGCCTTCTCATATTGTAACATTTTACAATCCTCCACCATCACCATAACAACCAGAAGAAACCAACCTGTTGCTGGCACCTTCCCCCAAATCCAAGAACTGTTCATTTTGGGGGGAGGGCGTTCGTCCTCTGTACGATCAGGGGAGGTCAGCATCCTGTGACCTTCTTCTTGACATCAGGGAGCCAAGGATACACAGGCAGGATTAGGTACATATCCACGTATGCAGCAATAGATTAAACAATTAGTGTTGTTTGATTCCCAAGGCAAGGTCAGGCAAGTATGGCTGGCAGCAATGAAGGCAGTCAGGAGCCCAGATCAGCTGCTTGGCTAGACTTCCCAATCCCTCCACACCCTAACCCAGCATCCTTGTGCTGGTAAGTGGGACCCTACCTCAGTTTTCAAGTCTGTAACCCAGACCAGCTTGGAAGGTTAGATAACATTAAGTCTAAACACCATGCCTAGTGCACAGTAGGCTCACAGGAAGGTTACCTACGCTGGTTCCCGCTAGGGAAGAAAAGCAGTTGCTCTCCACTGCTTTTGTCTCAGGAGCCAATCCCACCATCCTTACCTTACCCAGTAGGTCTCCACATCCTGCCCACACACCCTCTCACAGGAGGCAGGTGTAGCTCTGGTTTGTCCACACTCACAAGATATTTCTTCTTCACTAGACTAGAACCTGCTCTAGCCCACTGTGAAGCCCTCCTTCCCTCCCACGGCTCTGTCCTCAGGGCTTTGTTCTTTATTAATTGGAGAGTTGTCCAGGGCTTAACGGTTTGGTTAACAGATCATTTGGCTGTGAGTGAGCAGGCACGCAGCCTACTGCAGTAAAGGCAGCCAGACCACCCAGAGACACTGTCATCCTCCTAACAGGAGGTGACTCAGCCACACACCCACCTGTTCAACAGCGCACAGGCAGATCGAGGGCTTCTGTGCTCTCTTGTGCTGCTGGAAAAACATACTGACTTTCAGCCTCTAATATACGCCCAACATCCTCAAAGTCAGAGATCCTGCCCCACCCACCGGCAGGGCTCAAAGTCAAAATGCTTTTAAGAATTTGAGGGAACAAAAGAAGGAGACATTTCCCAGGCCATTCCAAAATGGCACTGACCCACAGGACAGAAAGCAGCTGCCCTGACCCAAGTAAGCCCTGTCATCACTCAAGGTCAGCAAGCTAGATCAGGCAACGTCGAATGACTGGTAAAGCATATGTCAGTGACACTCAGGGGCCATGGGAAAGCTGGAGGCATGTCACCTCTCTCCCTGATGTTCCCCAGGGTATTTACTGAGCAACTCATCTGTGTTCTGAGACTCCAACTCTGTGCAGAGCCCATAGGTGGCTTCTCCCATAAGCCAAACAAAAAGGCATAGCCAGCATGCTAGCTGTGTGCTCCATGCAGTCTCTGCCTCTACCAAGCAGGAGGCCCTGGGTGATTCCAAGTGTTCCAGGCATAGGATCAGGCCTTAGGAGAAAGGTAGGGGTTAGCAGTGGGAGAGGCTGCACTCCACTGGAAGACGTAAGAAGGTAGTAGCAATAAGAACAGCAGAGGCTGGGAAGCAGAAGGGCACTAGAGATGGAGACCCTAAGGGCAGTCAAGGGACAGGAAAGTAGATGAATGGAAGGGTGTTTGATGGAAGTACCTAATACAGAACTGACATTCGAAGATTTGTCTATAACAGAGTCACACACACACACACACACACACACACACACACACAATTGCTGTTGCTGCTGCTGCTACTACTACTGCTACTACTCCTACTTCTCAATTGGTCCACAAAGAAAGCCATCCTGGTTTGAGACTGGGTTGCCTAGTGATTTTCAGGATGCCTATTTCTCAGAGCACCAGGCACTCATACACACAGGCTACTTACTGGCTGGCCTCCCTACCTCGGTGTTTGGTAGGTAATAACCTGTGGTAGACATCCATCAATCTCCAGGCCTTCATGGTCTTAGAAGGTGAAAGTTTCTTAGATCATCATAGACTTGGATCTAGGGATGAGACACCTGGACCACCATTAATCCCTGAAAGGGAAATCAGAAACACACCCCAAAACCAAAAGTTTACTGTGTATCTTTCTCTCTCCTGGTGTGACAGAAGTTGAATGGCAAAGTGCCTGTGCCTAACCGTTTTCTGAACATCGGCTTCACCTGCTGATGGATGTTACTTGTAAAGGCATGAAGAGTCAGAACTGGTTCCAGAACTTTCCTCTCCAGAGGCTGGCGTCAGTTCTAAGCATGATGTTTAGATAGAGCATATGGGGTGCCAGCTGCTTGCCTCTGTATGGTACAGAGGGCCTGGATAAATGGTATATACCACATCATGAAGTAGAACTGGAGAACACATGGCACAAAACCAGTTCGATGAAAAGCAATTTGGTTGAAATTCCATTCCATTCAGGAGCACACTCGCTATTCTAGAAATGTAAAAGGTAAAAATAATACAAGTGTAGTATTTCAGGAACACAAAACATCGTGCAAATTGCTTGAAGAAAAAAAAATGGCCATAAGGTGGCCATCTATTGAAATAGTTGTCATTGCCTGTTTTCTTGGTCTAACAACTCTCTTCTTGAAGAGGAAAAATAAAAAGTGTGATGTGTGTTTGTGTGTGTTTACGTATGTTTGTGCATGTATGTGTTACACCCACCTCAGAGAGAAACTCAAGAGTTTCACTACATCATCAAGCAAAATTTCTTTATCCTTCTAGTTTCCCAGGAGCATAAAGGACCATCCCACACAGACCTGTGAGCTGCCTCTGTTCTAAATGACTTCTCTCATGTCATTCATTGCCCAGTGCTTCAGATGCAGTCTACAGACAAGGCCAGTGCATATGTGCTTTTCCTCAGCTTGGGCAAGGTCAATTCGTGACAGTCACCTCTGCTGGGGCAGCTGTCATCACAAGACACTGCAGACAGGGTGGCTTCAACAGCAGAATGTGTTTCCTTACAGCTGCAGAAGCTGGGAATATAAGTCAGAGTGCAGGCAGGGTCGCTGTCACCTGGTGCCTCTCTCCTTGATGCCATGTTTCTGGTCTTTGCTGGATGGAGGTGTATCTGTATTGTGCCTTCTTCTTAAAGGGGTATTGGCTCTATTAAATTACCCTTGTAGCTTCCTTAAAGGCCGATCTCCAAGTGGGTGGGTATGGCTTTGAAGGGATTTAATCCAGTCTGTAATAGTCTTTGTATTGTTTTGTTTTTAAATAAGAAATAGACTTGGCTGTCCTGGGACACATAAAGATCCTCTTGCCTGTGTCTCCCAAGTTCTGGGACTAAAGGGATGTGCCACCATGCCTGGCTATAATAGTAGTCTTTAAATACATGTAATTGTCAAACAGAAAGGGCAGCCCCTCACCACAGCACAATCTCCATGCACTTACCTCTATTTCACCTCTGTAAAGTCAGGATCAAGTTAGCCTTTCCACTGAGATCCCGTCATTCCTAACGTGGCTCAGCTGTGCTCTCTGAAGAGCTGCTCACCTCCCTCTCTTCAAGTCAGAATCTTCTTCTGGGAGACAAGCCATTCATAATTTGCAACCCACTCCCCATGACCATCATAGAGGATAGCAGGGAAGGGTATTTCCTGAGCCATCTTTTAACAAAAATACTTCATATCACAGGCTGGGGCAATGTTAAAGGTACCACCAAAGTGTCACATCATTCCCAGGAATGAACTAGAAAATTCCCAGAGAATCCACCCCCCATTGCCTGGGTGGCCTAGGCAATCACCTCCCCTGCTGCTGGGAATCCTCCATCTTGACAGGCTTCTGTCCTACAGATGGGAGCACAGGGACAAACCCAGGACCTGCATGCCTGTGACCTGCAGCAGGCACTGAGTCATGTATCCCAAAGAAATTGTATGTTCTCAAAGGCAGGTTCATACTCTCACACAAGGCTTCGTCCTCTGTGGTGCCACATGGGATAGATCAGCGGTGGCCCCTGAACATATCACTAGGGGGACACTCATCCCAAAAAGAAAGGAAAAGAAGGCCTGAGCAAACCCTAACGTGGACGTTGGGACCCTCACCCTATCAAGTCTCATGGGTCGATGTCATCTTTGGAAATGCCTGCTTAGTGAACGTGGTCTCCTTGAAATACTGAGTGAATAGTCAACCATACTCATTTATTGTTATCGAGAGTGCCTTCAGGGGCCAGTCTCTGAGGCCCAACATACCTTGCTATCTATTCAGATCTGTGCCACAGAGCCTTAGAAAACCCTGATTTGGGTGTCATCTTGTAATTCTGAAAGCTTCTGCTCTCCCTAGCCATTTGAACAGGCAGGTTCTAGAAGTTATTTTCCATCCAGAAATAATTAGAAATAATTCCTGTATTTTTGTCTTTCTTTGTATTTGTGTGTGTGTGTCTGTGTGTGTGTGTCTGTGTGTGTGTGTGTGTGTGTGTGTGTGTGTGTGTGAGAGAGAGAGAGAGAGAGAGAGAGAGAGAGAGAGAGAGAGAAAGAATGTGTGTGACTATGGTTATACGTGTGTAATGTATGTGCACATGGTGGGTACACACACTTGTACATGGATTTGGAAGTCAGAGGATTATCTTCTATCGTTTTCCACCTTATTAAGCCTTTGAGGCATGGTCTCTCACTGAACCTGGAGCTTGAGTTTCTTTGGCTAGGCTAATGGCCAGCAAGCACTAAAACCATCCTGGTCTTACCCTCTCTCTGCTGGGGTTATAGCTGTGCCACTTGTTATGTGGGCACGGGGATTTGAACTCCAGTCCCCACACTTGAATTGGAATACAAGAGCTCTCACCTGAGAGTTGTCTCTCCAGGTCTTTGTTCTATATGAGAACATTCATTGCCTTCAGGTTTCCCAGTGTCGGGGTCACTGGCCCAACAAAGCAGTTAAGTAGACATGTGACCTCCCTGCTAGGTCTTTCTAGTCATGATACCTATCAAGGAAACGAAGCTGACCTTGTGGAGATGTCTCAGACCACGGTCAGGGACTACCATTCCAGACAAGGTGTTGGTTGAGCTGAAAAATGCAGCCTTGTTTTCCAGAAGGATGTTTTCCAGACAATGGCTGCCATACACTTACCTATCACTGTGTGTTCATTACCTACCCACTCACTGTTTGTGTATTCCTTGCAGTTGTCCCATTTGGACAGATTTCTAGATGAAAAATGAAGGCTCAGACATGAAAGATACACAGGGGTTGGTGCCATAATGAGAGTAGATCTCCAGTGACTATATCCCTGCTACCATACCATACCTGTAGGCCCCTGTTGTATTGTCATTAGGGCTAATGATAAGTAAGTTCCATGATGGTTGTTCTATGTATTCTAGCATTATATGACTGATAGACTCTTGGGGGTCTTCGCTCATGGATGGATAGACATATGGATAAGGTAGACGTATGGAATTTCCAAAATCGGTCTGTACAGTGCACTAGGTTATTTGAGAATACTGCAGACAGAGCACTGGCCACAGGATCCACTGGAGCTTGGGAGGCAGGCGGCCCTGGGAATTCTTCCCCGTTGCTACATCTCCCATGCCTCACTCAAAGTATTGCCAATGCAATAAAGTTAATGGGGCCAGTCATCCTATGAAGGAGCCAATTCTGAGCAAAGATGATACATCTTTGAAGTTAATGAGGTCTATTAATTGAGCTTATGCCCTTTTAAATGAATGAAAGTCTTGAAATCTACTAAACAGCAGCACATCCATTTAGACGTCGTTATTGATGCCTCAAGTCTCTGTCACCAACGGATGAGGAGCCAGCCACCAGGGCAGGGCTATAGGAATTGGCTTCCTGCCGACATTTAGCACAGTCTTCAACTTCTGGTAAGCTCAACAGATGCCATGTTGGGTCAGTCATTCATGTCTTTAGCAAAGTCTTCCATTCAACCCTTTACAGCCATAGAGGTCAGATACCTCCATGATGAATAGCCCATTAGCTGATCTGTGTAGCTGGAAGATGCTAAAG